TCTGCAATATTCTTCATCAAAACTAAATTCTGCACCAAGATTCACTTCAATTGCAGCACCATTTGAAGACCCTTCGAAAATTGTGGATCTCAAAGCAAAAATACAACGAGTCTGGTCCATCGATTGTGTTGTTCACCTTAGACAAATAAACTGCACTACAGAATCATAACAAAACGGCCTAGAATGAAGACTGTCGTTGATTACAATACTTTTTCGACTGCACATCAATAACACAATTATACGATATATCATGAAATTAATGACGGATAATCAGCGAGCGACCAAATACTTCGCTCAAATCTAGCCAGCACAAAAACAATTCATTCCCCAAAAAATTTCGACAACATTCTCCATCTTTATCCTCAAGTTGATATTTATCTCATCTTGTCACACTCTCTTCGCTGTAAAAGGAACGGATACATCAACGAGGATCTATTGCTTCAAACAAAAGTTTGCTCGATTTTTGGGCTCTTCTTTTTTCAGCACAAGGTTTTGATGCTTCAAACGAGAGGTTCATCAGTTTGTAATGCGGATGAAGACCGATTCTTCACACAATCACCTCCAACACCACCACGAGCAACATTACAGTCACCATTAATAATATCGCTTTGAACGATGGCATCATTAATCATTTCCATCAATAATCTCACTAATCCACGACTCTACCACCACAATAGTGTGTATATCACTTTAGACATTCAACGGAGTAAGCACTGATTAATTCCATATTGCCGTTAATTATTCTTATACTTCAAGTATAACACTTTCATAGCAATCGCCTTATGGCAACACAATTTCATTTCTTGTCCCGATATTCCAAATGGAATTTTTAATTTATTTCGAAAAAAACTGAAAATTGCATGAGAAATGAGTTGTTGTTGAATCACTGAATAGAGCGTTGAGTCAGTCCGCTAAAAGGATCAAGGAAGCAATGCATCGTGCAATATCCTTTGATCATACTTTTGATCTCCTTTCCATTCGATCCAGCATACTCTTCACAAATCCGTTCCAATCGATTGGTAAGCTCATCGTTAACACCATTTTCTCGTTTCACATATTCTGTTAGCAAACCCTATAATCATCACCTGTTTCGTGATCGTTTCAATAGCAAAAACATCAAGTCATAAAGCACACTGCGATGGAAAGAGCCACGCGAAGAACCGAATTCACCAAAAGATTTGACAAACCGCTTCGCTGAGGAGTGTACGGAGACTTTTTGAGCCGTTTTGCTCACGCCAACCATCTGCAAATAACGGAGTTAGAAGCAGTTGTACCGGGAGACATGCCTCTTCCCGGTCGGTATCTCTCCAGCTGAAATTTGCATGCATCTTCTCGGTGCGTCTTCCTCCTCTATCATGATTCTGAGAAGCTGCCGTTTGAGAAAATTTTGAATTTAACGGAAAAACTGAACGAATGCGAAAAAAGCAGATGTCTGGAATATTGGAGCATCTAAATATCTTTATCATTGCATGAGCTGGACATTTTCTTCAATACGAAATTATGCTCTCTCAGCTGATTTCAGAGTTAGAAGCTGAATTTTTAAATTTTTTTCGAAAAAAATTGGAAGTGTCGTGAGAAACGAGCGATTGTTGAGTCACTGAATAGAGTGTTGATTCAATCCAGTAAAAAGATCAAGAAAGCGATGCATCATGCAATATCCTTTCATCACACTTTTGATTATGCAATATCCTTTGATCACAGTAGATAGTGGTGGATGAAAAATCTGATAAATTTGAGTACTAACACAAGAATCCCCAGTTTTTCATGGATAATTCCATTACGAAGCCACGTTTTCTCAATAGGTTCTTCAGCTGAACCCTCTACTATTCCCACTAATAATGCAGTGGGAAACATCCATTTCAATAACCAATACCACATATCAATAAACCAATCGGTCACTCACATTGATCCTGAAAACAATACTTCAACTCCAGACATTCCGAACTTTTGAACACCCCTAATTTTGATGATTCTCATATACCAGATCTAAAATAAAATGCTTGCTTGCACTTATTCGTCAACCATGCGTTTAATGTTTTCAATCGTGATCAAGTGATCTATTGAAATGATACTTTTTCGGTTCTCTCCTCATGATTCGACAATCATTTCCCTTGTTTATCATGAATCCATTTGCAGAACTACGATCCCCTTTCCAAAATGCTCACTTGAAATCGCTTGTTAGACAATTTTATATTAATATGATTGGCACGTTCACTGACTAATTCGATCGAAACATATACCTCTGATCATCAAATACTTGTTAGTCACGCTCACAAAGACCATATGAAAAGAACGACAACAATTCCAGACAGATAACTGAAAATAAGGATTTATCAAACTCTTTGAAAATGAATGAAAAATATTGCAAGCATCCCGAAAGGAATGAGCGTAATATGAGCATACAGCAAAAGAATAAGAAATTGACTGCATTTCGCCGTCATAAATCTTCTGGATCTTAATCCCTCCGAACAGAATCCGAAATTCTAATGCTCTTTTACCTGAACATTCCAATTCATTTCCTTTCATACTTAACAATTCATTGTTGCATCTTTTTTGAACAATATTACATTCCCTAAGTTCCGTGTATGGTTGAAAAATTTAATTTTGGAATGGAAACAATTTGTGCAAGACGTGATAAACAACGAATGGAATAAACAAAATAGTCAAAGAGCAGTCAGGAAACATGAGTCTCGCCGCTGAGTATCAGGCAAGTGAAATCCTACGAGATTTCAC